ACTCATCTCCCCTACATTTCTACTCCGTCGAAGTGAGCGTTTACATTGTCAAAGTAATCGTAAGGAGCGACTCGCTCTGAGCCCCTCTGACAGCTGTAAACTGACTTTAAGTTTTGAAGCTGCTCAAATTTTTAAGCTTGGGTTCTACTTCAAGAATAGTGTCAAAATCATCTTCATTAAGATCTGCATAGATATCATTTACGAGCTGCTTGAAAGAACTTCTTGCCATTCTGTGCAATGTTGATATCTTTTTGTCTTTGAAAACCAGATATAAAATACCCGTGACTTTGACTAAGCAGTGAAATGAGTTAAATAAATTTAATGGCATTGAAAATTAGCTAGAAAGAACTGCTTTTAACAATAAAAACATTTTATATACACAAATGCAGGTGTGATAAGAGTTTTGGTTTCACATACTGTTTATTAGAGAGTTAAACATTATTCCCAATCCACGATGGCTAAATGGTAGTAAGAAAATAGGTGTGGCTTATCAGTCATCAACAGTTTTTGTTATTTTGTTTCCATATTGCATTAATAATTCACTTTATTATTTGTCCTTTACTTTCTTCTTTATCTACCATGTCTTCTATATCCAGTCTATTATATATATCGGGTGGCCAACAAGTCGATCGCAAGGCTAATTTTGGTCAATCATCATTCGCTTGCAGTGACTGGAGTGGAATTCCATGTACATGGACTTTGAAGCAACTGTAGAAGTCAAAACCTTTTAGCAGTAGATTAACCTTTTCGGGATGCATGACCACTATATTGTCAGTTGTGGTGCTTGTTTGAAAGGAAGGGGTTGTTCACTGTAATAGTAATGTGCCCCCCATTTCCAAGCTAAAAGATTGGGATGTCAAAGTTGATGTTCCTCATTGAGGATGTCTGGAGTCTTAACTACTTATCTCTTTCAAAGGCCTTTGTATTACATAAATTTTCCCTCATTGAGGAATATATTCTTGTTTCAGATCTACATGCCTACACGAATCGGCATTTTCGTACTTGAAACTAATGAAGACTAAACAATGTTCTGCCCTGACTGATTCCCATACTGAAGACTCATTATTATTATCTTTGTCAGTATATACACCTAATTATGATCCTTTGGTTAGGGACATGCAAACTCAGTCTTCCCATTGATGTTAAGGCAACAAAGTAAATTCTAAATCTGTCTTTATCTGTAGCTACTTTGAACTAATAAATATTGTTGATAATTATCCATGTTCTTTTTTTCCTTTGATATGAGTTTTTGGGATCTTTAAATAATAATAATAATAATTATTATTTTATTTATTATTATTATTTTTTTTTTAGATAGGTAGATAAATCTTATATCTGTATTTCAGTACGAGGTATCCTTAGCGAGCTATTGATAGAGGAAAAAATAAGCCATGTTATTCTTTCATGATAAATCCTTCTGGCCCCAAAAAATGTGAAAGTGAAATATTGAAATCAAATTATCAGCCATACTGTGCATTTTTGTAACAACTTTTTCATATTAAGGAACAAATAGTACAACTTATACATGGCAGTAGATAAAAAATTAAATTGCATTTCAAGTTAGTAAAAATCTTATCTTGAAAAAGATCTAGGAAAATCGAATTTTTTAGGTACCACACGTATGAAATGTTGCTATTACAAGTTCGGTCTGGAAATTAGTTTTCTTCGCGAGCCTATATCTCGAAAACTTAATAAGTTATTTAAAAAAGTGAAAAATAGTTTTGAACATATATTTTTCTTATCTACCCATACCTCGCTGGAATGCTCCTTATACTGAAACACGGTGTATAAACATTGTATGTATTTTACACCCTTCTCCCCCTTAGAAAAACCTATGACAACAAGTCGATTGCGACACACTTTTAATATAAAAAGCAGATCTTATGTACAAAAAAAAGTTGGCCACCCATGATATATATGATCCAGATCTTCATCTTTTTTCTCCGCATGTATTGATGTTGATATGCCTAAATCTCTTTTTGTAAAATGCTTAAATAACATATCTTGTTTCAATTTTCTTTTTTTTTTCATACTTTTCTTTTCTTTTCAAAAATCTTGATTTAAAGCCCATCTTTGGCATTTGTGGAATTCCGATAAAAAATACATTATACAGATACTGGAAAAATATTTACATTTCATATTATGGTAGTAACTGTAGTTGCAAATTGATAACTAGGAACATGAATGTTTGTATTTGGACTTGTTACATGCAACAATAGTTCATGCACACTATAAACTTTCATGATACGTTGCACCTAATTTGATTTTAATACTTTATTATGATAGTATTTATTTCTTACATTTAAATATAATGACATAAATATGCTGCATTATTAAAGATTTATTAAACTTATTTTGTAAAAGTTTATTAATATAAAAAAACAAATTATTTTTTGGTCCAAAGGGGCAGTTTGCCCAGAAACTCTATCAGTTTCATTTTGGCATTTTGTGTTGATTCACTTTTCAAATTGTTGCCACCAAATATTAGAGCCCTGTATTATATTTTAAAGAAATTAAATAATGAAGAATTTGCATAAATGTATAATATGTTTCTTGCATTGTGATAAAACTATGGTACCTAGAGCCATCAAATTTTGAATAACATGCGTTTCCACCTGAATATGGCCATCTGGAAGCCCAAATTTGGAATTTGTTTTATTAACTATTTTATATTTTGTAAAACTTCAACAAATTTTTGATTAACGAGCTGAACAATTTCAAAGCAATTTAATGGCAACATTGTATGGGGGGTGAAACTTTTGTATCTCCAACGTGCGAGACTGTGTATCAGAAATTGTAAAGCTATGCTCATTTAAAAACTTTTTTTTTGCAATACTGCTGTTGAACTGAATTTTATGGTTTAAAGGGCAAAGAACGTGATATTTAATAAATAAAAATAATAAATGAACACACAAAACATAAAAAAATATGCCCCTTTGGGCATAGTGTAAAATCTGAAGGCTTTCAGATTTATACATATATATATATATATATATAACAAACATTCTCTATTCGTAACATTTTCTATTGGTATATATTTACTTATTTATTTTTCTTCTCTGAAATGGAATTGGGCTTTCCAGATTATGGACCTTAAATATTTTGTTTATTTGTCTGTTAGTTAACCTGCACTGTATGGTGGCATATTGAAGAATTTAAAAGGCACACATGTTTAGAATGGAGTTAAAAAAAAAAAAAAGTGTTAGGTTGACATGAAAATAACATAAGTAAATACAGGAGTTTTTGCAGCTGCTTCATTTAAACAGCTGATGAATCTGATGAATAATTTACACATCTGTCCACTTGTAACCACTCCTATTTAACATGTTAACATAAAACTTTTTTTTTCCCTTTTTAACTGAATGCTGCCATTGGAATCTGTAAGAAGTTCAGTTGGAGGGTTCTGTATCAGCTTTCCTCTGTTGAGTAATAAGAGATCAGCATTAGTACTTTTGCATTCTTGTTACAGAAATGAACCATTTGTGGAAGGGAAAAAGAATATTAGTCTGTAAATCAGTAAATTTAAAATTCAAATAATTAATCTTTTCCTTAAATATTGTGTGACTTGTGTTCCTTAAATATTGTGTGAATTTTGTAAATTTCTAAGTATGAATGTATCAGAATTTATCTATGTATAGTTCTGTTATTGAAAGTAGCCAATTTAATGTCTTTTTAAAGTGTCAAAAATGTAAAAATGAAAAATAATGTACTTTTGATATTATATATTGTTGAAAGTTCTTTTAATGATATAATATATGCAAAAAGTGAAAAATTAGTAAAAGTAGTTATTTTAAAATCATTAATATTTATGCTAATAAAAATACATTTTGTTTCATGAAGTACAGGGGGGGATTGACCGAAATTTCTGTAAAAAATAAATCCTGTATGTGTTTGTTATATTTTTATAAATTTTGAATCATTGTAGGGTATAGCAGTATAAATTTGCAGAGAGTGTAGTTTCTTGTTAAATATATAATAAATAATTTGTTTGCATTTCTTTTTAGAATTTAAAAAAATGGTCTATTTTTCAAGTTTCAAACTAGTATTTTGCAAATCGATATGTTATATTGTAAATTGAAGTTTTAACTTTAATATTTTAAAATTTACAAGAAATATAAATAAGTATTTTATATAACTAATGAAAATAATAGGTTTTTATTATTTGGAATACAATAATTAAAAATTAATAATAAATATTAATACAATAATTAAAAAAACCATTTTTTTGGTGGGGGGGAGAGATTGATCTTTTTCAAAAACTATGTTAAGATTTTTTTTATGAAAAAAAAAGAGATAAAAAATCAATGTTTTTTAAAGCTTGAGTTGGCTGAACCATGTGCTAATGCTAACATTAGACTGCAGTAGTCCCTCTTGCCCTCACTACCCACTTACCCTGCTGCAGTGGAAGAATCCATTGATTTAGCAGGTACTGAGGAGAGTATAGTAGCTGAGATGCCTGATCAATAGTTGTTGCTAACTGAACTCCCATTTTAGCATTCTGCTCATATAACTAGGTTTGTCTTGATTTGTCGTTGGACTTTTCTGTATTATTTTCTTTTACGCTGTGTGTTTTTCAGTATGCATGTAATAATTTGGTAAGTAAATTCTGTATGCCATTACAGTTACATATTACTTTTTCACTTCTGTTTCCATTCTGGGATCTCTGCCATTCATTCTTCATAGTTTTCTGATAACACTTTCTTTGTGGAAGTTTTAATTAATTTTGTTTGAGTTATTATGAATATTTTAAGTACTTGAATATCTTTATTTATTCTGATTTTTGAACTTAACTCTTAAATGCAGTTATACAAGTTTATTAATTTTGCAAAGATTCTGTTTAGAAAAATTGTAATTTTACAAGTTTAATCCAAATATTTTTAACTATGTGCAGCATTTTTTATATATTTATTTTTTAAAATATTTATGCTGATTGATAATATTATAAATATGTTCTATAATAAATATAATTCAGTATTAATTATTGTTCTTATTTTTTTAAGGTTCGCTGTTAAAAACACTATAGATTCTTTGAGAAATTGGTACTTCTTGAACAAATAATAAAATTTTTGTTTGAGGTAATATTAGATTTTTATAAGATTATTCATGTTATTTGACTGGCATATGTAATTCTTTTTGTTAACTTGTTTGATTTCTCTGATAAATCAATGGAGAAAAAACTTGTTTCTTTGTATTTGAATTGTTAATGTATGGGTAGTATCATGTATGAAATTTTGCATACTTTGAATTGATTTAAATATTTTTGTCCTCATGATATGTATAATTTATTTTAAAATTAATTTGTATTCTTAGCTTAAAATATTTTTCCCTCCATTTCAAAATTTTCTTTGCTTATTTGATGTACGTATTTGTTAAATGTATGAAAATTTGCATGCTTTTACCAAAATTGTAAATCTTCATACAATTTTTTCATTAAATAATATTTTGTACATATTTAATTTGCAGAGAAATTCATAAAAATGCAAATAATTTTATTTGTTTTGTAAATTGATTATTTAATGGAATATGAAATTTAATTTGTATATTTTGTGGGAAAATTGTGTTTCTATCTATTTTTAAAATAAAACAAATTTAAGTACAGTAAAATTTGTAAAATAAAATTTCTTGTAATAAATGATCTTCATGGCAGGTGTTATATTTTTTAGATGAAACAGTCATATGCAATGCAATTTTTAGCACATTTATTATATTGCAAAACCGGAAATACTACTACTCGCACACTGTGATCACCTTAGTTTAAATGAAACCATGCTGAGAGTATAGTGTCATAGCAGTTGATTTTTGAAATGAAAATACATAATAATAATTAATGATATATGTAATATGATAATAATTAATGATATACAGTCAAAAGTCGTTAATCCGGACTCGTCGGGACTTCGGCGATTCCGGATTATCGATTTTTCCGGATTATAGATCATCAGTTTAAATCTCGTAAGATGGCATGCAGAAATTATATAAAATTAAAAAATATGAAACCATAATTTATGAAATAAAGAACAATTATGATCTAAAGAGTATCAAAATTTACAAAAAAAAAAAAAGCTTAATATTTATTTGTTTACTTTATTAAACATTTTTTTCAATGTAAGTTGTTTAAGTTGCTTTGTTTTATGTGCTAATACTTTCTCTTTAATTCTATATAAACAAACGTAATTTCTTGTTTAGTTACAAAGTTCCGCTGTTCAAGTCCTGTAATTGCTGTGCCGAGAATACTGACTAACTTGTCAATTGAAATTTTTTCGTTTTCACTAACCTCTCTGTCACTTTCTTCATGCCTTTATCCATTTTTTGCAGCAATTCCACTTTTTGTTTGATGGACATTGAAACATACTTTCGTTTTGTAGATCCTTTGGGAGCTCCAGCATCGAAAATTCTATTTGACATAATCAAAAGTTCAAGCTTACTTTTATAAAATTGCTCTAACAGTCTGCAAAAAATGATAAGCCGGATCCAATTCGAAGATTAAGGAACAACGCAATCTGTAACATTAACTGAAATAGATAATTAGATAATTTTAGCTTATACCATCTGTTATACATTAAACGCACATGCGTAAACGTAGTATGCGCATGTGCACACGCATATGCGCAGCCGTAAGGGTCTTATGCGCGTGCATCAACGCGACACAAGCGCAGAAATTTTGGAGCTTTGAGGTCCGGATTATAGATCATTCCGGATTATGGGTGTCCAAATTAACAACTTTTGACTGTATGTGAAAATTAAAATACCAATGTATCTTTATTTTCAAATATCTTTATTTATTTATTTATTTATTTATTTTTATTTTTTTAAAATTAAATGCAGTTTGATGCAAGAAAGTGTAATTTTGGCTGTTAAATATTATTTTTTACCCTTCTGTGCTGGGACTGTACAATTACTGTTGGCTTACTTTAAAGTCATCTGAGAGCTGACATTTAAATTCTGTTTTAATCCAGATGTTTGCTCTAAATTCTAATTATTTTTCAGATATAACCACCAAATTCAGTTCTTTCCAAATTCTAACCACTTTATATATTACCACTAAGCTAACCATTTAATGAGATTTAGAAATCATGGCTAGCACAAAGGAAATGGAAATCAGTATTTCAAAAATATTTCTAAAGCACATACAGCTACCTTTTTGTACTATAAAAAATGGGATTTTAATTTTTTTTAATAATTTGTTTACTCTACAGAGAACACAATTTGATTTTTAAGAACTTCCTATTATAATTTTGTCTGAGCATGTTAGCTACCTTTTTGTACTATAAAAATGGAATGTAAATTTTTTTAAATAATTTATTTAGCTTACAGAGAACACAATTTGATTTTTAAGAACATCTTTGCTCAGACAGATTTGATTTTTATTTGATTAATCCAACATTACACAATTTGATTTTTAAGAAGAACATGCTCAGATAAAATTATAATAGGAATATTATAATTTTGTCTGAGCATGTTATTTTTTTGGTATCATTTAACAAATAATAAATTTTTAAATAAGCAAATTTTAATTTTACAGCTGCATTTAAATTTAGGTATACATATTGGTACTTTTCCTGTAAGTGGCCACTACCTGAGAAAGGCATCAAGATGTTTTGCCAAATGAATTTGTTTGGTAACCTTTGTTTATATACTGTTTGCTAAGTGATGGTAAGGCTTGCTCATTGTTCATGTAAATAAAATATAGTATAAATACAAAAAAAAAAGAAAAAAAAGAAAAATCCGATAAATGCATTTCTGTCATACTTTGAACATATTTAGGTATTCAAAATATACATTTTTTATTATTCAAAATGTTGCATATAAATTAAATTATTATTAAAAAATCTTTAATTTATGATTTAAATTAAGTGATCAAATTATGCGAGGAAATTTATTTTGTTACTGTGTTTGTTCAAGATATAAAAAAGATGAGTATGCTAATATCAAACTTAGAATTAGGCAAATATTGGCCATAAACTAGTGTTGGTTGTGGAGGAGACAGGCAAAGCATCTTTTCTCACCATGCACCAAAAGTGTTTAATATTGTGACTAGAAATTTAAATAAGTGAAATGAAATGAAAAAATACTATGAAAGGGAATCAATAAATACAGCATCATCTCTTGAGAAAACAGAAATCAAAGGAATCAAAAACTAAAAGGTTGCTATTTGAAAAGGGACAGAATAACTGTTTCACCTGCTGTTAGTATATATATATATATATTAAATTAAACCAGTGATGATTTTTGTGTATATTCAAGCATTTATTTATCTGTTAACAATACCCATTTATTAAAAAAAAAATCCTTTTACTTACTTCTGTCATAACAGAAGTCTTGGAAACAACATTTGATGACTTGTTTTAAATGAGAATAAGTTGATTTTTGCATATATTCAAGTGTTTATTTATCTGTTAACATTACCCATTCCCCCCCCCCCAAAAAAAAGTATATTCATCAGTCATAACAGAAGCCTTGAAAACAACATTTGATGTTTTAAATGCGAAAAGATATTGTGACAATTATAGTTAGTTTTAGTTAGAAAATGTTTCAGAGATAGCATTACTAACAGGTAAATACCAAATTGGATTTTTGAATTCTGTGTAATCCTCACAGTATTAAATGGATTTCTCTATGTCGAAGGTCTTTCAATTTCAAATGTTCAATGTTTTGGGGAGAGAAATATGATTCTTTTGATAATATGACTTGCATAACGGGGGAGGGGGGAGACTTTGGGTTGCTGTAGAAACAAAATTAAAAATACATCAAAATTGATAATATTCAGTAATATGATATTGTCACGAGGATTCCTATCAATTCTTGCCATAAGAATAATAAAAATAAGTGCATGTAAATTTTAATGTGTTTGTATCTGTTTATTTATGTGTTTCATTTGTTGTACTTATTCTCAATGAGTGTTTGCTCATACATTTACAAAACTTCAAAAAGGTGTGCATTTTTATTGTCAATACATGCTCACTTCTGAGGCAGTGTGAAAAGTTAAATAGAAGTGAGCAAAATATGGTCATTGAAAAATGGAGGCAGAATGCTGAACCTTAAAACAATAATGTAGAAACTGCAATGTTATCACATACTGCAGTATTATTTACTCAGTATAGATGTTTCATATGACAAAATGAGAGAATGGATGTACAGTTGAGGCATGATGAAAAAATGTTAAAGTATACTTTACACTACTTACATATGTTTATCAACTGGTTCAAAATAAAGGCTTAATTTTGCAAACAACTACAGTTTCCGTATAAAACACTAATATATACAATTTCATGCTCTGTAAACATAAAATGACTAATAAGTAAATATGAGTATATGTGTGTCTTTGAATAATTTAATTTCAAAGTATAGATTGCAATCTTGATGAAAAGTTTAGGGGAGCATTTTGGATAAAAGTGTGTGATCATCAAATGAAAAGCAGTACTTCCAGGATGTGTCAAATCTTATCAGAATTATTTTAATAATCTTAATGAAATGATTTTTCAATTTCCATTAAAAGGTCTATTCTCAATAATTAAAATTTATTATTGTTAATATGGGTTTATTTACAGGCAGAATCAGAACGAGAGTGAAGCAAGCATGACATTTTCCTTGGGGGAACAACTAGAAGTGCTAAAAGAACTACCTAAAATTTAGAAATGTATCAAGAAAATTTTTTGTTGTCAGCTTTAGATTTTGAAATGCAAAGGGAAGCATAGTTTTAAAATATATTTAAAGTAATCAAACTCCATTAGCACCATTTAAAATAATTTAAAAAGCATCTCAGGCAGCTTTGCTCTAAAAAATATATATATAATTGGAAGGGGGACATATCATTTGTATATAATTAATGTATTCTTCCTGACATTGCTTGCATTCTCAGTGCTTTACAGCCAGCTGCCTGTTTTCCATTAATCATCTTACATAGCCATCTCTTGAGTCAGGTTTCCATTTCTTAGTTATGTTTAATACCACTCAGTGTCATAAGCAATAATATTATTTAAATAGAATTATAAGAATAGAATTATGCTGATTTGCTTTATTAACTTCAAGCAGATTTATTTAATACACATTTTTTATTGCATAGCTTCCATTATTCCAAGAAAAGTGTGAAGAAAATTAGAAAGAAAGAAGAAATAGTAAAGAATGTATTATATATACAGAATGTGAAAAAAAAAGTTGATTGAATTGTTTTTGTTGCTCCATTCAGTATTCATATTAGGTTTGCCCCTCCCTTTTTTAATGTCAGTGTAATGTTTAAATGTTTCTAAATATATTTAAAGAATTGCATGCCAGTATATTGCAACATTATACTGCTGCAGCCCTTTTTGCACAGAAGAAAATTTGTATTCATAATTTTTGCTAACAAAGATAACAAGTGATTTCAAAGAACAACAGATTTGCATTAAATTCTGCATTAAATGAGCAGAACTGGAAAAGAAACTCTTGACTTGATCATTCAAACGTTTGGAAATTAATCTTTGTCACAGTCAAATATTTTAGTGGCATAAGCTCTTTAATAAAGACCAAAGATGATACCTGCATAGAACTGCTATTAACATTAGCAATTGATCTTAAATGAGAAAAAGTTGCTGTTCTTGTCCAATAAAAAAATTAATAACTTTGTGAGAGATATCGTATGAAAAGTGCAAATAAATTAGCTGAAATAAAGGGAGGGGGAACAGTAGCTGATGCTTTAAACAACAATAAGTGATTAAGATAAAGTAACATGCTAAACTATAAATTTAGAAGTCAAGCAACAAAAATCGGCATTGTATTTGTAAATTTTCATGGGACTAGATTCGATGGTTTTACTGAACCGTCATCCTCAGCTGCCAAAGCACAAGTGAATGAGATAAGATATAGTGATTAGATAAGATAACATAAGAATGGCTGGATGGGAGTTAAGCTACTGGTGCCATCTCTTGATGAAACAAGAAATAAAACATAATTTCCTTAAAGGCTGAAGGCAAAGATGGATTGGAATTAAAGTTAACTAAAACAAAGATTTTTTTTTTTTGAACGTGAAACACCTCTAGAAAATCTAATTCACCAATGGAAAATGTTTTTTGAAAAGTTTTGGCTGTAGAAAAATTGAAAGTGTGATTTTCGGACCAACAATGTTGAGCAACAGAGGACTTCTGTGTTTTCTTTCTTCTAAGATAGGCCTCATTAAGGAACTAATGTGAAGTTTTAAGGCTCTGTTAGTTTAGACCAATGTAAATTAAAGCACATTGGCAGGGAACCTTTTAAAAATACCCCAGGATTTTATATCCGGAATGGGCCTCTTGAGTATGGAACTCGGAATTTTATTGATAGGAGTTGAAACAACTCGAAAGTTAAATTTCTGCAAAATACATGCAGATTTATGGCTAATTGAAAGAAAGAATGGAATGACAACAGAATTCTTATAATCTCCTAAAACAAGAGTGTGTCTTTTGGTGTGTTTGAGGTGAGAAATTTTTAACTGCCTGATTAATAATGTTGGGTGAAAAGCCTCTGTTAATAGTTACTGCTTTTAAATAATTTAGTTCTTGATCAAGAGCCAGTTTGGAGGAACAAACTTGAACAAACAAAGGAATAAATGAAGCTAACTTTTGTTTAGTTGCATGACATGATTTGAAGTGTGGTGGAAGGTAAACCGTGTTATGTGTGACCAAAATGTTGAGTGTGAAATGGAAGTGAATTGCATGTCTCAAGTTCCAAAGTGAACTGAATAGCAGGATCAATGGAATTCATTGTGGAAAGAACTTTTATTGCCGTCAAACAGGTGAAAGTATTGTCTACGTAGCAGAATCATGCTGGGAAGTTTAAGGTTTCAAATAATGTTGATTCATAATAATGCTTGTAAATATCAGCCGGGATGGGACTAAGGGGGCATCCCATGGCTAATCCCTCAGTTTGCTTTTAATACTTATCTTGGAAAACAAAATGTGTTTATTTTAAACAGAGTTGAGTGCAGGAAATTAGTTCATCAATTTCGTTGCAAGAGAAATGAAATACACGAAGTTTGGTTTTTAGACATCTTTAATGCACCTTCCACTGGGACATTGTGAATAATGATTTTGCATCGAAAAAAACCATGAGTAAATTTCTAGGAGAATGCTTTTAATTTTTTTTACAAACTCTATTGAATTTTTATGGTGTAAATGTTATTGTCTAATAGAGTGAAAAATCTAGAAACTAAATATTTAGCTAACAGGATACGAGAGGCAGTACCTAAATTTGATACAATAGGGCGGAAAGGAATACCACTTTTATGAATTTTGGGAAGAGCATATAATCTGGCACAATTCGCAACAGATGGGATAAGCGTCTATTTTAAGTTGCTTGAAATGATTTGTAAAGATTTGATCGCAGTTTTTTTTTTTTTTTTTTTGAGAGTCCGAAGGTGAAGGATCTTTAGGGATCGGATTATATGGTCCTCTGTTTAAGAGTTTAGTGACACCATCAATGTAAGTGTTCTTATCCATGATGACATTCTGGCCACCTTTGTCGGCCTTTGAAATGAAAATATACGGGTTAGAATGAACTTCGCGCATTGTAGCTTTTTCTCTCGCAGTTAGATTTGGTTTCAAAGGTTTATTTGTTGAATTTCACATTATGAGCGATAAGGTGCCTTAATCATTTCTTTCTGTGAATCTGAAACTTTACTGAATTTGAAAGCTTTTTCGATA